ACACGTCACAACATCAACGCATCACGACATCAACGCATCGCCTTCCCCCCCGTGGCTTTGTTAGTTGCGTGGTGAGACGGCAATCGGTTGTGGAAATAACAAACTGGGAGCGATGAGAGGTGGCGGCTCCCTCCACCTCGCGGTTTCCCATCCTCCTCCCCCTTCTCTCACTGTCTCTCCCTGTGTCTGTGTGTCTCCCCGTGTGTCCGTGTGTCTCTCCACTGTGTCTGTGTGTCTCCCCGTGTGTCCGTGTGTCTCTCCACTGTGTCTGTGTGTCTCTCCGTGAAGTCCCCGTGTGTCTCCACATGTGTCCCCACGTGTGTCTCTCCGTGTGTGTCTATGTGTCTCTGTGCCTTCCTGTGTGTGCCAGTGTGTATCCCCAGGTGGGGAGCGGTAGCGTAGTGGTTAGCGCGCTGCGCTACGAACCCAGTTAATTTCCTGCTAACGGCCAACACCAGTGACGATTGTTTCAACCGGTCCTGGGCCTCTCCTAGGTCGAATCAGCCTTAAATGAGTACCTGGTGCAGTGTGTAGTAAACATCGCCACTAGGAAGACAAAGGCGGCCCTGTGTGGTGCTGCCTACCCACCCCCTCGTGCGCCGTACCGGCCTTCATAGGTGCTCGCTAACAGCACTTGCTCCAATAGTCCGTTAAGGCTATACAGGGAAGCTTTGTCTTTGTATCCCCATGTGTGTCTGTGTCTCTGTGTATCCCTGTGTGTCTCTCTGTGTCTCCCCGTGCGTCCCTGTGTGTCTCCGTCTCTCCACATGTCCCCCACACGTCTACCCGTTTCTGCCTGCGTATCTCCGCATGCGTCTCTCCGCTTGCGTCTCTCCCCAAGCTCTATTCACCCATCGCCCCATAAATCTCCTCGGGGCAACACACTCAATTGAGTGGCCCTGGCGAGGATGTGCTGCTCATCTGGCCAGGGAGGCTTCTTGCGTCTTGCCAAGGCCTCTTCAGCTCCGAAGATTGATGACCGCCGCTGTTGAACGCAGCACGGAGTCGGCCCGCGGTGTAACGCTGCTGCAATATCTGGGATGCAGCCCCCAGTTCCCACCTCGCCAAGCCATGATTCACGCCTGCAACTCACTCCCTGGTGTGGCCAGTCATCTTCCTATCACTCTTCTATCGCTGCTGCTGCTGCTGCTATCACCATCACCACGGTTACTGTTGCCGTGAACTTCGCTCGTCGATTCCTCCACCACCCACGGTCTAACAGACACTCACTGTTTCATCATCCACTACCACCACCACTATACTGTGTGTGTTCATCCACCACCACCACACTGTTCAACCACCACCACCACACTGTTCAACCACCACCACCACACTGTTCAACCACCACCACACTGTGTTCAACCACCACCACCACCACAACACAGTGTTCAACCACCACCACCACCACCACACTGTGTTCAATCACCACCACCACACTGTGTTCATCCACCACCACCACAGTGTGTTCAAACCCCAACCACCACAACACACTCACCCAACCCGTTCAGCGCACTGCAGGTCACCTCTCTCTCATCTTGATGCTTCTTCACTCACACCGCTCCACTTGAGAATTCCCCTCTCCCGTCCATTATCATCGTTAAAGCCATCTCTTACCCCCCCCCCCCTCTCTCCCGCCACAACCTCTACCAAAGATAACGACCTCGCTCGATTCAAGAGACGTGTGACGCTCTTGCCCAATTACAAAATGCTGCTTGTTCCTGGCCACTCTGGGCCTCGTTGTTAGGTGGGGCCCTTTGAGCTTGTCGCTGGTCGGATTCTGCAAAAGTAAAACTCAAATATTTGACCCTGGGTTTTTTTTTCTCTCTTTGTGGCTCAAATTTACCGCGCCTGCCATCATATTTTTTGCGGTCGTCGTTTTTTTTCCGCATGTTTCCGTAACTGTACAACAATCCCCCCCCACACCACCCCAGCGCTTATTGCGTGGAAAAAAATCTCACGACTGTTCAAGGCCCACAAAAAAAACGCTTGCCTTGTTTTTTTTTTTGGGGGGGGGGGGGTGGGGGGGGTCAATGTGGGGAGGGGGGGTCGATGCATGTTTGACAAAAAAAAGAGGAATGTATTCCTAACACTCAAAAATGTGCTTCCCGTTTTTGCCCGTTTTTTTTCTCCAAATTATTTCGTGCGTCTCGTTTTTTCGGTTCAGTGCGATGACACTTCCTGCCGAGTGAGTGAGCGTGTGAGCGAGTGAGCGCGTGTGCGAGTGAGCGTGTGAGCGTGAGTGAGTGTGAGCGTGTGAGTATGTGCATGTGAGTAACTGTGTGAATGTGTGGAGCGGTAGTGTAGCGGTTAGCGCGCTGCGCTATGAACCTGGCGACCCGGGTTCGATTCCCACTCACGGCCAACACCAGTGACGATTATCTAAACCGGTCCTGGGCCTCCCCTAGGTCGACTCAGCCTTAAATGAGTACCTGGTGCGGTGTGTAAACATCGCCACTGGGGAGACAAAGGCGGTAGGGCGTGGTGCTGGCCACCCACCCCCTCGTGTACCGTTCCGGCCTTCATAGGTGCTTGCTAACAGCACTTGCCCCTACAGTCTGTTAAGGCTAAACAGGGGATCTTTGTCTTTGAATGTGTTGCGTGAGTGTCGGGAGTGGTAGTGTAGTGGTTCGTGTGCTGTCTGCTACGAACCCTACCATTGCAATGTCGGTGACGAATATCCAAACCAATCATGGGGCTCCCCTAGGTCGACCCAGCCTTAAATGAGTACCCAGTGCAGCACTGGGGAGACAAAGGTGGTCGGGCGTGTTTCTGACCCCACCCACCCCCTTCGATGTGCCGTGCCAGCCTTAATAGGTGCTCTCCAACAGCACTTGCCCCAGCAGTCTGTTCAAGGCTAAACGGGGGATCTTTGTCTTTGTAGGTATTCCGTGATGTGATGTTGTTCATGTGTCGGTGTTTGCGGTTTTACATGCTAGATGTTTGAATGCGTGTGCATCGTATGTCCACAGTCCTAGCCACCCATCCCCTCCCTCCCTTGTGTGCCGTGCCAGCCTACATGTGCGCTCGCGAACAGCACTTGCCCCAACAGCATGTGTGGGCTACACGGGGGGAGGGATCTTTAAATGTATCTTTGTGTGTTGGCGTAGGTGCTCGTTCGCTAACAGCACTTTGCCCCAACAGACTGTGTGGGCTACACCTTGTCTGTCCGCGTGTCTGCACTACATCGTGCGTCCCGTGCACGCATGCGCCTCGAAGTGCACCGAGCATGGCACAAGCGCCGCGGTGACGTCACCGCCACTTGGTGGTGAACGTCGGTGGTTGTTGTTGTTGTTGTTGCCGTCGTCGTTGTCGCTGCATGTGCCCGTCGCATCATCCCCCGCGCTCCGTCGCCGTGCAGGCATGAGCGCACACGCGTGACGCTGGCGTGTGATGCCTCAGGGGCGCGGACTCGTCTCTCTGCTTTTAACGACGGGGCTCGTTGAAAGTCCCGAGATGAATCGATGCCCGTTGGCCAAAGTTGGGTGGCAAAACATAATTTCAGCAAATGGACAAATGCTCGTCCTCCCGAGGACAAAATGACACTCGTTATTGTTTAAACGTTTCCCTGGTCCGTGAATTCCGGACTCGGCTTCGACTTCCTGGGGTCTCGTGAGCTGAGGGGCCCGGCCATTCTCAGGGCAGTACGGCAACCATCGCTCTCTCGGCCCCTGAAATACATGCGGTCATCTTGGCCAGATGCATCTGTTTGGGCTACCGGGCCTATTAACACCAATACTACTCATACAGCATGAACATTATTGATGCCCTTTTGGACCAGAATTTATATTGGCGTGGAGAGAAGATTTTTTGTGTGTGTGTTAATTAATTCTTTACTACCCGCAATGCTCCATGGCGGTTCAGAGTAAGCGTTCATAGACGAGTGATTTCCTGCTCGAAATGAGCCTTGAGACATCAGGGACCGTCTGTTTTACAAGCCTCTTTGCAGAACGAGCGGTGGAAATTCCACATTCCTATTGTGGGGTGGGGGCGAGTAGATCCACGGAACAACCGCTGTTGACTTCCCCACAAAGTGGTACTCGTTTTAACGACCCCAGAGGGCGGGGGGATAACGATGTGCCGATGGAGTAATCCGCCCCATAACTAGGATGTGAACTCGCGACCTTTCGCTTGCGAGCCACTCGCTCTGCTGCTGGCTCGCCAACCGGACTGGGTCCGTGTTCGTACAGTGTCCAAAATAGGTTTGCCGTTCAGTCAAACCTTTTTAGGGGTTTTTATTGTAAAAAAAAAAATTGCTAAAGTGGAATTTTCCAATCTGCGGCCAAAGGCCATTTCCGTCAAATAATTTCACGAAGGTTACGCCAATGTTTCCGATCGCTGCCTACGTCGCTAAATCATTCAGATATACTAATGGGGTGTTTACACATGCATGAAAGTGCCAACCTGGTCCCGGGCATCGATGCGATCGAATGAAAATGAATGTCGACATCCGCTGCCGTGTTCTCTGGATTACGACGCCGTATTTCCGCTCCCTTCCAGAACAGCCAAAGGCCCTCTCCTAGGGGTAAGGTGACTGCCCCGGGCCCCGAGCTTTGGGGGGCCTCCGGTGCTTCGACCTCACGGTGTCGGATGTAATACTTCCGGTTTAATTTGAAGGCATCGGCGGGGAGCCCACGGTGGGATTTGCCCCGGGCTCCACATCCCCACGCCCCCCCCCTCAATGGACCGCCGTGGGGACAGTAACGCTAAAGTCAAGGGTGCATCTCGTAGTCCGGCAGGCGTGCGCGTGTGACCGCCTCACCTGTGAGCCGCCTCCTTCACCGGGGGCATGGCCTCCTCACAGGAAATCGGCCAATCAGATTGAAACCTGATCGGGCTTTGCTATCACCTGGCAAGTTCTTGGCATTTGAGGCACACCCCTGTAATCCGGAGAATACGGTCATTGTCGGAGCGTGACGACGCTTTGCGACATCGATTCTTGTCATCGCGTTATGTGTCGTGTATATTTTAAAACGTCAATGTGTTATTTCCCCCCTCCGCAGAGAAACAGCAGCTTCGGAGGATTCGACCTTCGCAGTCGCCTGGGCAGCATCTCGTCCGTCGGCTCCGAGGAGACGGAGGAAGCCTCGGTGAGGATTCACAATCATGCGGCGTGTCGGGTGGGTGTCGGGGTGGGGGCATGGTTGGCGGTGGTGGCTACGCGGTGGAGACAGCGGCGAGGGTCGGTGGATCACCACACTGATGTTGTTGAAACTCCCTTCCCCCGTGGGGGTCATCGAGGAGGAGCCGTACCCCCTGCCTTGCCAGGAGAAGGCAGTACAGCAAATATGTACTCCACCTATTCCTTCTGTATGGGGATAGAGTGTTGCCCCCTCGCATGTATGGGTTTTCTCAGGGTGCCCTGGTGTCCTCCCACATGTAAAACACTCATTGATTGGCTAAACACATCTTAATATATAGAGGTCCACAGAGCTTGGGAAATTGCCGTTGGCGCCGGCTCGCCGGCTGGCTGCTGCCGCATTCCCCCTCGTCTGTCGTTCCGTCTCGTGCCTCCGAGTTGTTGTCGTCATCTCGACGAGAGCGATGAGCGAATGTTGTGCAGCGACGGCACGTTACAAGTTGACATCATGGTGAGATGTTAACTACCTTGCCTGGTATGCAGGAGGTCGTGGGTTCGATCGCGACCCTGACGCCGCCTGCTGCTGTATATTTGGAGTTTGCGTGTTTCTCTCCCCGTGGTCGCGTGGAATTTTCTCCAGGTCCTCCGGTTTTTACCTCCACATTTAGAATCAACGTGCAGACACGCAGACAGACAGATTTCCACATTATGATAAGCCACTTCGTTGAGCTATCATTTGTGACCAGGCCGCTCCTGAAAAAGAGCCACATAGCTCAGTGGGCCTTACTTGGTAAATAAAAAAATAGTTTTTAGTTCAGTTTTATGTTACGATTGTCCCCCAATTTTACTCCAATTGCACTACGGGTGTCGGAATACAACCGTGACGCAACGTGGACATTCACGGCGTCTCAAATGTTACCGCATCTCCAGACGGTGTACAGAAACAAGAGGGCGAGTTTATATGATGGGGAGGCAGTCGTAGGTGTCTGTGAAGTCAATGGGCTCACTGCGTGACTTTACGGCTCTCTGCTCGGCCCTCTGGCTCTACGCATGCACCGTGGGAGTGAACGATAGGATCCCACTGCAGCGTGGATGGATTTTAGCGATGCGACCGCACAGCGTTCCGTCCGGTCGCCTCCACCACCTGCGATCGTCCCTTCGACCCCAATCCTGCCCTGCCCTGCCATGCCCAGCCCGACGATGACATCACAATCGACTGGGCCACAATCGGCCCGCCAATCAATTTGGAAGGCAGCGTTGCCATGGGGATTTGCGGTTCAGATTCGGGTTATTAATTTGAAAATTAAATGAGATGTAAAGTTCTGGCTGCACCCGATAAGGACCGTGGTTCCCCCCCCCCCCCCCCCCCGACACACGCCGCTGGTGACCGGCGCTTGCCGAGCGTGCAGAGCGCGTCTCCGCTCCGGACGTTGGCGACTTCACCCACAGTTCCTTTGTGTGGGGCGCAAAGGTGGCAGAATGTCGTGGGTTCAATCCCAACCCTGACGCCTGCTGCTGTACAGTTGGCGTGCTCTCCCGTGGTCGCGTGGGTTTTTACCCCGGGTCCTTTGGTTTTTTCCTACACGTTTAGAATCAACATCACGCGTTCAGAGCATTTGCCTGCTGTAAATTTTCCACGCGATGATATAAGCCACTTCGTTGAGCTAGCATTTGTGGTCGGGTGGCTTCTGAAAAAGAGCCGCATAGCTCAGTGGGCCTTAGCTGGTAAACATAAAAATAGTTAATAATTTGTTAGTTTTTGTTTACTTACTATGGTTGTTGAGCACGGGCTGCCCAATGGCCTGGAGGGTCGAGTGGGCCAGCAACAAACAGCACCGGCATCAACATTGTGAGAGATTAGAGTTTCACGTGTTTATAGTACTTGAGAAAATATTGCCGTTGTTGTATAAGATCTTGGGGTTCCAGAGTAGAGCAGCCGTGCAAGTAAAGAAGCAGAGCGAGAGAGAGAAGTGAATTGACCTGCAGTTGAGTGAGTGGGTGAGTGGGTTGGCCATCCACCCCCTCGTGTACCGTGGTGGACTTAATAGGTGCTACTCGCTTCCAGTACTTGTCCCCCAACAGTCTATTAAGGCTACACGGGGGGATCTTTGTCTTTGAGTGGGTGGGTGAGCGGTTGAGCGGGTGAGCGGGTGAGTGTGTGGTTATGAGCTGCAGTGTGGTGGTCGTGCCATTTGAGATGAAACAGTCGATGTCTGCTCGACACCGAGCCCTCAACGTGGGTGTGACGAGTAGCGATAGGAAAGCGACGGGGAGCCGACTGGCTGCCGCTGGGTGAGCGAGCGACTGCTGATTTCGATTGACAGCAGCGAGGTCGCAACAGGATCCCAACTCTAGATCGTGAAGGCTGGGGCAGGCTGGAGCCCGGGTCGCTACGCGGATCAGAGACTGCCTGCAAAAGCAGGTGCCATAGGCTTGGCCTGCGAGGCGTGGCCAGGAGAAGAGAGTCCGCCCCTCGCGTACAGCTGCGGCGGTGGGTTTTATTTTATTTCCCCCGGGCTCGCCGCTATCCTGCGGAAGCCAAACGCTCATTAAATGGATCCGCGTGATGGGGAAACGATAGGGAGCAATGTCGACCAATGGGGGGGGGGGAGCAATGTTGATCAATGGGGAGCAATGAAAAGCAACGGGGAGCAATGGGGAGCAACGGGGAGCAACGGGGAGAAATGTCGAGCAATGGGGGGAGTAATGTTGATCAACGGGGAGCAATGGGGAGCAACGAGGAGCAACGGGGAGCAATGGGGACCAACGCCAAAGAGATAGGAAGCGTTTGCGAGTGGTGTGGATGAGTGCGGCGAGATGGGGGTCAGTGTGGAGCGACGTGGAGCAGTGAAACCTAAGGCGGGGGGCTGGGGAGGTGTGGGAGGGAGGGGGGGTGGGAGAAGGGGTGCGGGGTGGGAGGTGTGGGGCACGGTCCCAGGTAGCAGCCGAACAATCGCGGGAAGCCGGAGGAAGGGCGACCCGGGGACTTGCAAGGTCGCCGTCGTGACGTCCGTGCGGGGTCGGAGCGGTTCCGAAGAAAACACGGATATGGGGGCAGTAACTCCTGCGGGCAGGCGCGGGAGGCATCCGCGGCCTTGGCAACTGCTCCCTATTTTTGGAAGCGGTCTCGCTGTTGTTGTCATTGTTGTCGCTGTTTGTCGCTGCGTTTCGGACTTTTGTAAGGGGGGGTAATTAATGCACGCGGAGGCAAAGGTCCCCTCCCTGCGTGTAGCCTTTAGCAGCCTGTCGGGGCAAGTGCTGTGAGCGAGCCGTCTGTGAATGGCGGCCCGGTGTACCAGGCCGGTGGGTGGAAAAGAACACGCCCGGCCGCCTTTGTCTCCCCGATGCTCATGTTTACATCGCACACGGGGTTGAATTTGGGTCGCCAGGTTCATAAGCGCTGCGCCACCACTCCTCAATAATTATACAGAATCCACGTGGTGCGCACACACGTACATCTGGTTCTGTGCGATTCTGTGGGTCTCCATGCGAATCTATGGGTCTCTGCGTGAGTCTTTGGGTCTCTGTGCGAGTCTGTCGTTCTCTGTGTTACTCTATCTGTGTAGGTCTATGGGTCTCTATGGGAGTCTATGGGTGTCCGCTTATTTTTTTTCGCCAACGTTGCTCATCAGTAAGCCCGTCTCCCCGTGCGTTAACCCAGCGGCCGTCCAACTGGGGGGTGGCTGCCACTGCCATGGCGCAGCGCTCCTAACGAGGAGGAGGTGGCGCTGCCAGCCAGCGCCATCGTTACCCGCAGTAGATTGACGCGAGACTAATCGCCCGTCGCTGAGCACGCTGTCCCCGAGCTAATCTTCGCAACCAATTGGGCTTTTGTTTTACGTGCGCGCGTGCGCCTTTGTCTTTTTACGTTTGCCTCCAACAGTCCGTGAAAGGCTATACGGGGGGCGGGGGCGGTGCATCTTTGTGTCAACCGAGCTTTTGTGGACTGACGTGGACTGTTCCATGTTTACGGGATAGAGCGTTGCCCCCTCCCACCCACCCCTCGCACCCGTGGTATTTCACCGGGCGCTTCCCGTTTCCTCCCTCGTGTAAACGCTCATTGATCACCCGATAACACCTTGATATATCGAGGACCGCGGAACTCGGGCAATCGTTTGGTCTGCGAATCTCAGTATCGGCGTTCGTGCATCGGTTAAAGCCTCGGACGAAAGTCGAGTTCCCGAAATGTGCATTTCCGCAGTTTTGTCGTGCGCCTCACCGGCCTGGCTAGATCTCGGATGCTAAGCAGGGGTTGAGCCTGGGCTAGTGCCGGGATGGGCGAACACCTGCCGTTGATGGCAGGACGCTGTTGGGCCATTGAGGGTGCTTGCAGCTGTTTCGCGCCTGCCAGCAGCGAGCATTCCACACTGCACGCGACGCCCTCAACGTGCACCTAGCTTGGCACAAGCGCCGCTTAGTGGCGGTGACTTCAGTTGCTGTTGGGGAGGGAGGATGGGTGAGTGAGTGATGGTGTCAGTGTGAAGTGCGTGTGATGGTGTGTTAGTTTGTGATTGAGCATGTGTGTGTGTGAGCGTGTGTGTGTGTCTCTTTGTCTTTGGAGCGGTAGTAGTGCAGTTATCGCGCTGCACTACGGACTCGGCGACACGGGTTCGATTCCCGCTCACGGCCAACACCCGTGACAATCATATGAACTGGTCTTGAGCCTCCCCTAGGTCGACTCAGCCTCAAATGAGTACCTGGTGCGGTGTGTAAACATCGCCACTGGGGAGACAAAGGCGACCAGGCGTGTTGCTTGCCACCCACCCCCTCGTGTGCCGTTCCGGCCTTCATAGGTGCTCGCTAACAGCCCTTGGCCCTCCAGTCTTTGTGTGAGTGTGTGGTGTGTTAAATGAGTGCTTGAGCGAGTGTGTGTGTGTGAGATTGTGTGTGTGTGTGAGATTGTGTAAGTGTGTGTGTATGTGTTTTAGTGTGCAAGCGAACGTGCGTTGGCCAGATAAGAGCAGGGGCGGTCAATCAGTCTTGGCCGAACCCGCGAGATTTCTCAAGTTTTTGGCGAGAAATAATAAAATTATCGTGTTCTGCGGTGGAGGCAGCTTGGGAGGAAATGTTAACCTCACCTCCGCCGGGAGCACAGCCATATGCTCTCGGCGATTTCAGTTTCACGATCAGCTGGGAACTCGTGTTCTGGTTTGTGTGTGTGTACGTGTGTGTGTACGTGTGTGTGTGTACGTGTGTGTGTGTTTGTTTGGGGAGCGGTGGTGCAGCGGTTAGCGCGCTGCGCTACGAACCCGGCGTCACGAGTTTGGTTCCCGCTCACGGCCAACACCAGTGACGATTATCTGAACCGGTCCTGGGCCTCTATTCGGTCGACTCAGCCTCAAATGTGTAAACATCGCCACGAGGGAGACAAAGGCGGCGGGGCATGGTGCTGGCCAACCATCCCCTCATTTGCCATTCCGGCCTTCATAGGTGCTCGCTAAAAGCACTTGCCCCAACAGGCTGTACAGGGGATCCTTGTTTTTGTTTATTTGTGACCTCCTGCCAGCAGGCCTTCGACACTTCACGTGGCCTTAAAGTGCACTTAGCCTGGCACAAACGCCGTGGTGACATCACCGCCACTTAGTGGTGAATGGCGGTTGTTGTGTTTATGTCGCGGCGAGCACGTCGCACTACGAACCCGGCGACCCGAGTTTCTATTCCTGCTCACAACCAATAAGTGGCGAATATCTGAACCGGTCCTGGGCCTCCCCTGGGTCGACTCGGCCTCAAAATGAGTACCTGGTGCGGTGTGTAAACATCAGCGCTCTGGAGAAGGCTGTGTCGGCCTTCACAGGTCGGCTCGCTAACAGCACTTGTCCCTACCATTAACGCTATACGGGGGGATATTTGTTTGTGCGTTCACGTGTGTGTGTTTGTGCGTTCACGTGTGTGCGAGTGTTGGGACACGAGCGACGCTTGCCTTGCGGGCTCAACGCAGAGTGATAATAATCACAATAAATCATAAACAACCGAGTAACGTTCTCGTGGGCAGGGTGCGGGGAAACATGAGGCGTCCGGAGGAGGAGGAGGAGGAGGGGCGGCTGCCATGGCGGGCGACGAAGGAGGCGGGAGCTCCTCGCCCCGGCACAGCAGCAGCTCGAGCGGCTTCCTCGGCAAGACGGTGAAGAACGTGAAGAAGACGATGAGGAAGAAGATGTCTCGCATGTACATCAAGGCCGTCATGGAGGAGGAGGTGGGCGCTTTCTTTGTGCCTAACACACGAATGGGCTGGCTGATGAGTTGTGTGTCGTCGAAGCCGGGCTGTGTGGGCGGTGGGCTGGCTGATGCGCTGTTTGTCGTCGAAGCCGGACAGTGTGGGCGGTGGGCTGGCTGATGAGTTGTGTGTCGTCGAAGCCGGGCTTGTGTGGGCGGTGGGCTGGCTGATGAGTTGTGTGTCGTCGAAGCCGGGCAGTGTGGGCAGTGGGCTGGCTGATGAGTTGCGTGTCATCGAAGCCGGGCAGTGTGAGCGGTGGGCTGGCTGATGAGTTGTGTGTCATCGAAGCCGGGCAGTGCGGGCGGTGGGCTGGCTGATGAGCTCTGTGTCGTCGAAGCCGGGCAGTGTGGGCGGTGGGCTGGCTGATGAGCTGTGTGTCATCAAAGCCGGGCAGTGTGGGTGGTGGGCTGGCTGATAAGTTGTGTGTCATCAAAGCCGGGCTGTGTGGGCGGTGGGCTGGCTGGGCAGTGTGGGCGGTGGGCTGGCTGATGAGCTGTGTGTCATCAAAGCCGGGCAGTGTGGGCGGTGGGCTGGCTGATGAGTTGTGTGTCGTCGAAGCTGGGCAGTGTGGGCGGTGAGCTAGCTGGGCAGTGTGGGCGGTGGGCTGGCTGATGAGTTGTGTGTCGTCGAAGCCGGGCAGTGTGGGCGGTGGGCTGGCTGATGAGTTGTGTGTCGTCGAAGCCGGGCAGTGTGGGCGGTGGGCTGGCTGATGAGTTGTGTGTCGTCGAAGCCGGGCAGTGTGGGCGGTGGGCTGGCTGATGAGTTGTGTGTCGTCGAAGCCTGGCAGTGTGGGCAGTGGGCTGGCTGAGGAGCTGTGTGTCGTGGAGGCTTTGTGTTCGTGGTCCTGCAGCGTCCGTCTGGAGCGTTGTTTAGTTGCGATGGAAGTGAGCCAAGCTCAACGACGTGACCCCCCCCCCCTCCTCCCCCTTGCGGGACCCCCCGGGCAGGGTAATGGGACGGACGACGCGACGGTGCCGGTGCCGTCACCCACAGAGCCGGGCACGGAGCCGGCCACCGTGGAGCGGCCCAAGCTGACGTCCTGCAGCTCCATGGAGAGCCTACGCAGCTCGCTGAGTGAGGGCCAACGCACCGCCATCACCACCACTGCCGTCGTCATCGCGACCACCGCGACCACCATGACCACCACCACCACCCAGTGTCCACACACAAATACTCTGCACTGGGAGCAGTGCTGGTGAACTGTGACACTCCAGGCAGGGTCACCCCTCCTGACGCCATTGGGGGTCCTGGCCCCACGCAACGTTCTAGAGCAATACTCAACACATCCATGCGTGACAGGGCCTCAACATAACAACGTTTAATAAGTAGGCTGTCTCGTTTGCATGAGCAGACCATGTCTGTTGGTCCACACAATACAACAACGTGTACTGCGTGCGTCACGCCCGTGTGTGACGCGTGTGTGACGCGTGTGTGACGCGTGTGTGACGCGTGTGTGATGCCCGTGTGACGCGTGTGTGACGCATGCGTGACGCTTGTGTGACGCATTCGTGACGCGTGCGTGACGTGCGCGCACGACAGGTGGGCAGACGGTGAGTACCACCGACTCGTCGGCGAGCAACCGCGAGAGCGTGAAGTCCGACGAGGCGGAGGAGGAGGAGGCGGCCTACAACGGGCCCTTCTGCGGGCGCGCTCGCGTCCACACAGACTTCACGCCCAGCCCCTACGACTCCGACTCGCTCAAGCTCAAGGTGCGCTCGGCCTCGACGCCGTGGTCGCGTCGCCCATCATCGCCGTCGTCATTATCGATATCACTCGACGCCGTCGTTGTCGTCATCATTACCGTCGTCATCACAGTCGTCGTTATTATCAACGCTACCACGGTCATCATCATCATCGTCATCCTCTTCCAAAATGTTCGTGACAATGCTCTGCTGCCTTCGGCCCGGACCTCCTCTGCTTTCTTCATCTGTTCCTGGTTGAACGTCGTTCAGCGTCCTCGCCCTTTCTCTTCACGTCGATCTTTCTCCAAAGATTCTCTCGTCAAATCACCTCGCGTCGCCGTGGGCCCAACCACCGGAGCTCGCTAACAGCACTCGCCCAAACAGTCTGTTAAAGCTGCGGTCCCCAACCTTTTTTGGCACCAGGGACCGGTTTTGTGAAAGACAATTTTTTCACAGACCAGGGAGGGGGTGGGTGGGGGAGGTTCATCATTGGGTCTTTCTCCCTGTTCAAAGAAGCTCTCCAGCGACGTTTGTTTTGTTACTCATTGTGGCTACGAGGGGTTAGCAGCTCGTGGGCTTATCAAAACTGTGACGGAGATGAGTGAGCAGTGCGGGAAAGATACGCGGATGGAAGTGGTGAATAATAAAATAATGGGGTCTGGCAACACGTGCGGACTCACCGCTCTCACCTCCTGCTGCTGTGCGGCCCGGCTCCTAACAGGCCACGAGCCGGTACCGGTGCGCGGCCCGGGGGTTGGGGACCCCCCCCTGTGTTAAAGCATATATGGGGTGGTCTTTGTCTTTGCAGGCCGGGGACATTATCGAAATCATTAGCAAGCCACCCATGGGCACATGGATGGGCATGCTGGCGAACAAGGTGAGAGACACCGTGCCACATCACACTGCATCACATGGCGCTGTGACGCCGCCGTCACGTGCCGAAGGTCCCGGGGCCAAAACGTCGCAGGCCCCGACGTTCCCCGCGGCCGTGGCGCCGGGACTTGTGGAGCACACTTTGGTGAACGATGGTCCCGTTGACGCCTTGGTGGGGCACGCAGGTCGGCACCTTCAAGTTCATCTACGTGGACGTCATCCTGGAGGAGCCGGAGACGAAGGCGAAGAAGAAGCCGCGGCCCAAGCGCAGCAAGAGCAAGAGGCCCAAGCCTAAGACCGTGCAGGAGCTGCTGGAGAGGATCGGCCTTCAGGTGGGGCCACGGGGGGTGGGGGGGTTGGGGGGGGCAGGGGCTGGCCAGGTGGGACAGGTGTGAGTGGTGGAGAAAAGTTGTAGAGATGCGGACAGACGTGGAGAAATGTCAGGGGATGCAGAGAGAGAGATTTATTGGGATGTAGATAACAGAGAGAGGCAGAGGGAGTGATGGACACAAATATGGACAGAGAGAGAGAGACAGACAGGGAGGCAGACACAGACAGACAGACAGACACAGACAGACACAGACAGACACAGACAGACACAGACAGACACAGACAGACACAGACAGACACAGACAGACACAGACAGACACAGACAGACACAGACAGACACAGACAGACACAGACAGACACAGACAGACACAGACAGACACGGACAAGGTAAAGTTCACATAGCAGTGCAGAGGGAGTTGCGGAGGTCCTTGTTCTGGGGACATGTTACAAGTGATGCATCTCCGTATGTGTCTGTATGTGTGCACATGGAAGTGCGTGCACGCGTTTTTGTACACACACGGAAATGCGCATGTGTGCGTCCCACATATGTGACAGCACATACACACACACACACACGTGTACGCACGCCTGCACGCCCGCGCGCCCATTCGTGTTCACCCATGCACGCACGCGTCCTTGTTTCTCCCAGGAGCACATCCCGGCCTTCCTGCTCAATGGCTACGAAGACCTCAACTCCTTCAAGCTGGTGGAGGAGCGCGACCTGGACGAGCTGCGCATCACCAACCCCGAGCAGCGCGCCAAGCTGCTCACAGCCGCCGAGCTGCTGCAGGACTACGATGGTAGGGCCCCCGATCCACCTCTGGCCCGCACCCCCACTCCACACAATTGTACACGGTAATGTTGGCTGCAACAGTGTGTGTATCAAGTCGAACAAAGTGCGATGGGTGAAGCAAAAGCGTCGACGCACGCTCGCTCGCTCGCCGTCTCGTGCTCTAACCGAGCTTGTCCGTGTCACCGCCCCGCGACCCTTTGACCCTGGGACCCCTCGACCCCTCCCTTGTCTTCGTCGCCGCTGTCGTCGTCACAGGAGGGAGCGAGGAGCGTGGCTCCCAGGAGCACCTGGAGCAGCAGCAGGAGCAGCAGCACGGCGACACTCCACGCGACTCGGGCTGCTACGAGAGTTCGGACGCGCTCGAGAACGGTAGGGCCGGGTCGGGCGCCGAGGACGGCCCCGGCAGCGGTGGCGGTCACCGTGACGATGACGATGATTCCCGTGGTGGCGGCGGCGGCGGCGGCGTTGACCGTCTCAAGGAGGCCGTCTTGTTCCGCAGCAGCGCTCACAAGAAGCCCAGCGACACTTGCCTCTAGCTTCTCATCCCCACGATCGGCTGGCCTAGCCGTAGGATCGCGGTCGGACGCCGATAATCGTCCCGTCATGCCTTTGCGGCGTTGCGCTGCTAAGTTGGTTTTCGGCGACAGGGTCTTCCCTCCCCCACCCTCCCGCACGCGCGTCGCTGGCAGCACCGTCCACGGTGAACGTTCCACCCCCCCCCATCACCCCCACAACCCCATCGCCCTCCTTCTCCCCCGCAAGCAAAGCCAAAGCGAGCGCGCAAGCAGCCCCAGCTGTTCCGGTCCACGTCGCTCCGTCCGCTCGCTCCGTGCTCCTCGTCGTCGTCCGTCGATGAACTTCCGACAGGAATCGCTCCCCACCGCGCCGTCCGTGTCCCTCGTTTCCGCGCTTTCCCCGCCGCCGCGATGAATTTTTAAAAAATTCTCAAGGCCGTGCAATTCTCAAGATAGCTTCTGTTTGTGTGTTTTTCTATGTAGGTATGTGTGTGTACGTATATAATATCTCCGATGTGGTCTCGGGTTGTGCCGCGTGTTATTCGGCACCATGTCTGACGTCTCGGTCCACGTGCCAGAAGCATCTTTTTGGGGTAAAAACTAAAATGAAAGTCGATCAAATAATCTGCCGCTGCTGCTGCTTTAGCAGTCGTGCACAAGCAGACACAACACAAACAACAAAACTGAATGCGTTCGTCAATAACAACACGTGTGTGTGTGTGGCCTTAAAAGGAAAAGTATACAATAGGATGACGTTTTAGGCAGTTGTCCTTCTTCAGAGTACATCGGAGAGGCTAGAGAGGTCACCTTACCCCCCCCCCCCCCCCCCCGCCGTTCAAGGCTGCGCTGTTATTATTGACGGACTTGTCCAGTTTTTGTTTGCCGTGACTGTCAAGTTGAGTTGGAGCTCCATCCGTGTCATTGCCCAACGGCGAGCGGCACGAACGACGGGCGGCTTTCTACGCGCGTCTTGCTGGAATCGACGTCAGGGTACTCGCCGTCTCAGCTCGTGCGTCGCACTCCGGATTGGGCGGTGCACCGCACAGGCATCTAATCTACCCCCCCCGACCCCCCCCCCCCCCCCCCAGAATAAAAATCACCACGAAATTCATCGCTTGCGGTGACGGCGGCAGCAGCGTTGCGCCCGACCTGTCATTTGAACTCACGGCCTTCCGGTCGCCGCCGTTCACTCGGCCACCTACCTAGGCACGCGGCCACTAGGTCATGCGGCTACGGAGCCAAGCTGAGCCACGCCCAGCCACACGGCAGCTGAGCCACGTTGCCGGAGAGTCCGTGGTTTTTCGGAGAATATTTCCTTCTCCAAAACTCCCACCCCCTCCAACCATCTCCTCCTCCCCCCTTCTTCACCCATCGGCACACGTATGCCGCTAATCACTTGCAGGCATCACTTCACCCTGTCCCCCCCTCTTCCTCTTCCTCCGGTCAGTCAGTCACGTGACGCTGCACGAACTCTCCCCGCGCCCGCCCCGCTGCGTGCAGTCGTCCGTGGTCATGGGGTGTGGGCGGTTTGTTGGACCATACTTCACCGCTCTGTCCTAGCTGTTGGAACGACAACGGGGGGGCGGGCGGGGGGGGAGGGAAGGGACCAGTTTTGAGATGCGACGTCGATATTTCGAATCTCGTCTTCACCGTGGAGCGATTGTTTTGCACGTTGTGTTTTTTGTTTACGTTCCGTTTGTTTTTTAAGCCCCCCGTATCATGCCTTAAAACGCGCGCACAGCAATAGCCGAGCAGCAGCGTGCGGTGGTTGTCGGTGTCTTCAGAGTTGGGCCACCGACAGTGGCGATCGCGACGACGGCTCCTGGTGCTTTACACTCTGTATTATCTCGTGATTAAATCGATTGATTTAACAACAACAAAAAAACATGATCAAAATCAACTTTACATTATAAAATATTAAATCAAAATATCACAAGTTTCAGGAAAAATAAGAAAAAAAAATATTACACGTAATTTATAGTACTGTTATTAACATCGGTCGTATTTAGCAGAGACCCCCTCCCCCCCTCCCCCTCCATGCCCCCCACGCACCCTCCCACCCGCTCTGCCCCCAACCATTAGGGTCGTGATGGTGCTGGTGGTGATGGTGCTGGTGGTGATGGTGGTGGTGGTGATGATGGTGGCGGTGCTTGTGGTGATGGTGGTGGCGGCGGTGGTGTTGCTGGTGGTGGCGGTGGTGGTGATATAATCCGTAGACCGACGGCCACTGTCGGGACGCGCGTTGACACGTTCGTCGTGAATCGGGTGGCAGACCGGACGACGCCGCCGCCTGCACCTAGCCTGGCACCGTCGCAGGCGGACGAGCGCACCGACTCTCACCACGGCAGCCCAGAGCATCCGTTTGGTGGCCTGGAATTGTTTTTTAATCTGATCCTTTGCCCAGGGCTGCTACGAGGTTTTGGAATGTTTGGCCATTATACAAATCCCCCACGCCTACAACACCTGGCAAGCCCTAGTAGCAGGCGTCAGCGGTGGTCGGTGATGGTCTCCCCCCATCCTATTGGCTCCCGATGCAATTGCACGGCCTGCACACTCAGTGGCTGCTCGAGATTGGTGGTGAGGATCATTGACCACGTGGGGGCGCTATCATCCATGGGTTGACGTCACCACCCCCCCACCCACGACCCCCACCCCTCTCACTGCACCCCCCCCCTCCCCCCAACTTCCCAGGGCTGTACCACCTCCTCCTCTGGCAAAACCAACCCAGTCGGGGCAGCCCAAGTGTCGTCCTCTGATGTGGGGGTGTTCATCGAGCTGCCCACCCCCCCACCCTCCCGAGCAATGCTTTTTTGTTTATTCAACCAATAATGAACAAACATATTTAAAACTAATATGTACGGAAAAGTAAAAATCAAATTGCCCCCCACATTAAATTGTATATTTTTTAGTGGGGGGTGGGCGGACGCTTTAAAAAAAAGATGTTTACAAAGTTCACTCGAGTTTGTGAAGAACTCCGGTGCAAGCCCCAATCAGACACGACACTTGGACGTCTTCCTTTGCTGCCCCCCCCCCCCTTTACTTCTGGCGACGTTGGTTTTGCCCGAGTCGAAGCAGGTTTTCTGGTGAGAAATTCAATTGATAACCCCCCCCCCCCCTCTGTTTACCCCCTCCCCCCCTTTACGGTAAAGGAACAGCCCCTGCAATCTCCTTCTCACGCCACTTGCTGCCAGATGGCCTTCCACAAGAGGGAACGAGAGAGAAAAGAGGTTGCTTTTGGCCAACTCTTCCAAACTTTACCCCCATCCCTGACTTGATGCGGCCTCATGAATTGGTCAACGTTCAGTTCCGGGCCAAAAATGTGTTTCGAAATAGTTTAAGATTTTTTAAAATTCCGAACTGGTTTCCGCTTAATCTGGACTTCATCAGCAGGCCGCGGCCTCTTTAAACAAATGATGTAAACGTTGTTGGCAAGCGGACTCCGTGACCAGCGCGTGGTTGGTAGCTCCAACGCGAATTCGGAGGGAGGAAATAAAACCACGTGCACCAAACTGAAAGGTGGCCCTTGGAAATCACGATAAAGCCACACGGAAGATATATTGCTTGAGATAACCCAAATTAAACAACTTATTTGGCGGTGCTGCTGCTGCTGCATTGGCAACGACAAAAACCTAAAAACAACATTATTGTGTGTGGCCTTAAAAATGAACGCCATACCTCCCTCCCAGCAGCATTCGTTTAATCCGCAAACAAAAAAAATTCGTGGCAGTGGCGTTGGTTAACGAGACGTGCCCTGGTTGAGCTGGGGGGGGGGGGCGGTGGCAGCCGGAGGTTCCTATCTCTTTTGGTGGTGGGGAGGGTTCGAGCGTGTCCTTGCCGATCATGCATTGCTCTATCAACTGCTGGCCTCTCTCAGTAACGCTCTGTCAATGCATCGCATGGTTGCATCGTTGTTGGTATTCGGTTTCCTGCTCTCTCTCTCTCTCTCCCCGCGGCGGGGGGTGGTGGTGGTGGTTGGGTTTCTCTGTCTCTGTGGTGTGCGGGGACTTCTCCTGTTTACCTGGCCCTAAAGATCTCTCAGCATTGTAGATAAACGCCCGCGATTGGATAGGGCACACAGAGAGAGAGATCGGGGTCAAACGGTGGAATAAAGTTCAACTCTTGAAACGAACCCCTCTTGCATATCTCCATCCTTTTGCTCTCATTTCTACTAATCGGTGTCGGCTGCTGCACCACTTTACCCCGCGCGGTTCTTGCATGGCGACGCGCACATGAATCCATCAACCGCTGGAGACGCACGGTCGGTAAAACCTCGTCTCGCCCTCCAGGATAACTCGACATCCCCTCGCGTAACCCCCCCTCCCCCTGCAGCAACAACCTCGAATCACACCCCCCCCCCCTTTGCATGTTTCATTCTCTCTGCGTGTGTGCGCGCGCTTGCGAATTTGCGGGGAGCCGTGGCCCAAGTGTTTGGTTGCACCGCGCTAAGCGCCCGGCGACCCGAGTTCGATCCCCGCTCGCGGCCGACATCGGCGACCAAAGTCTGAACCGGTCATTGGCCTCCCCCTAGGTCGACTCGGCCTTCAGTGAGTGCATGGTGTGATGTGTAAACTATTAGCACTAGGGGTGGCAAAGGTGGCTGCTGGCGTGGTGCTGGCCACCCACCCTCTCGTGTGCCCTTCTGGCCTTAATGGGTGCTCGGCTAAGTGCACTTGCCCTTACAGCCTGCTAAAGTATGTAGAGGAAATGTTTGTCTTGGTGGGGTGTCGTAACACAATTAATGAGGAACTGCCCCCCCCCGCCCTGCCCCGCCCCGCCCCCCCAATGCGATGGTGATACGACCGCCGTCGTGTTCGTCACGTGACAGATGAATCCATTCGGAAATCACTCGGAGCA